GGAAGTGTGGTCCAGGGTGTCCCGGAAGGTACGGTACCTGCTGAAAGCGGGCAAGAGAGGGGAGGGGAATATGTGTCTGGTGGTGGCATCTCACTGGAGGTGGCGGGAATGGCATCTGATGATCTTCTGGATGTGGATGCTGGTGGGATGGTAGGTAAGGACAAGGGGAACCCTATCACTGTTGCGGGGGGGAAGAGAAGGGGTGAGGGCAGAAGTGCAGGAGATGGGTTGGACCTGGTTGAGGACCCTGTCAACGATGGTGGGAATCCTCGGTTGAGGAAGAAGATGGACATTTTGGAGGCTCTCCTGTCAAAGTTGGCCTCATCTGAACATATACGATGGAGTTGGAGGAACTGAGAGAATGGGATGGAGTCTTTACAGAAAGCAGGCTGTGAGGATGTATAGTCCTGGTAGCTGTGGGAGTTAGTGGGTTTATAGTGGATATTTCTGGCCAATTTATCACCAGAAATGGAAGCAGACATGCCGAGGAAGGGAAGGAAGGAGTCAGAGATAGACCAGGTGAAAGTGAGGGCAGGCTGGAAATTGGAAGAGAAATGAATGAACTTTTCCAATTCCGGATGAGAGAGGGAAGCAGCACCGATGATATCATTGATATATTGGAGAAAGAGTTGTGGGTGGGAGCCGGAATAGGACTGGAACAAGGAATGTTCCACATACCCCATGAAGAGACAGGCATAACTGGGGCCCATGCAGGTACCCATGGCCACACCTCTGTCCTGAAGAAAATGAGAGGAGTTAAAAGAGAAGTTGTTGAGGGTGAGGACGAGCTCAGCCAAGCGGAGGAGGGTGGTGGTGGGTGGGGATGGTTCAGGTCTTTGATCCAGGAAGAAGCGGAGAACCCTAAGACCCTCCTGATGAGGAATGGATGTGTAAAGGGATTGCATGTCCATGGTAAAGAGGAGGTGGCTGGAGCCAGTAAACTGGAAGTTTTGAAACTGGCGTAAAGCGTCAGAGGAATCATGGATGTATGTGGGTGGGGACTGGGCCAGGGGAGAGAAGACTGAGTCAGGCTAGGAAGAGATGAGTTCTGTGGGGCAGGAGCAGGCTGAAACAATGGGTCTGCCTGGACAGTCCTGTTTGTGGATTTTTGGAAGGATGTAGAAATGAGCTTTGCGGGGCTGGGGGACTTGGAAGCAGAGTGGGGTGGATCACTAGATGAAATGAGATCAGTTATCGCAGTTGATACAATGGCCTGATGTGCCATGGTGGGATCATGGCCCAGGGGAAGGTAGGAGGAGGTATCTGAGAGCTGGTGCCCAGCCTCTGCAATGTAGAGGTCAGTACGCCAGACTACAACAGCACCACCCTTATCGGCAGGCTTAATAACAAAGTCAGGGTTTAATCTAAGCGCACAGAGTGCAGTCAGTTTGGAGGGAGATAGGTTGGTTCTGGTGAGGGTGGCAGAGAAATGGAGGCGACCGATATCACGTTGACAGTTCTCAATGAACAGATTGAGTGCAGGTAAAAGGCCAGAGGGAGAGGTCCAGTTGGAGGGACAGTGTTGGAACTGGGTGAAAGGGTCTGTGGGATGGGGAGAGGACTTTTGTCCAAAGAAAGGAGCACGGAGGCGAAGGCGGCGGAAGAAGAGTTTGGCGTCATGTCGTGCCTGAAATTCATCAAGGTGGGGACGCAGAGGGATAAAGCTGAGGCCTTTGCTGAGTGCAGAACATTCAGCATCGGAGAATGGAGGGTTAGGAGGGATGGTGAATACCCAACAGGAGGTGGGGGGTTGGTGGAGGGGATGGAGTCAGAGGGAAGGGGAGGAGAGGAAGGTTCCAGAGGGCCATTGGTATCTTTGAGTTGGTACATCTTGTGGGCCTTGATGCCTGACAGGAAAAGAAAAAGTTTCTTGTTAGCACAACGAATGAGCCGGAAGATGAAGTGGAACTGGGGAGTGGTGCAGCCCTGAGTCAGCGTATTGCGATGCTGTTGGAGAGAAAGGTTGAGAGTGTGTATGTGATGCCGCATGGCACTGAGTGTGGATCTCAGGATGCGGCGAGAGCAGCTGTCTGTGGAACGTTGAACATCACGGAGGTATTTGTGATCCTGGGAGGATTCAAAACACAAGGGATGAAACTTCAGTTGGAATCCACGTGGGGTGAGTCTGAGCCGGAGGCAGCCACTGAGGAATGTGATATTGCTGTGGAAATGAGTTTTAGCAATTACCTGGTCAAACACCAGGAAGTAACAGTGAAATTAATGTCGGTGGGCAAGAAGAAAGATTGGAACGGAAATCCCGTCAGAGAGAGGAGCAGAACTTCTTCAAGGTGGGCATGCTTAGAACAGATGTGGTAGTGAGTTAAGTACTAAATAAAAACCGAAAGAACTGTGGATGCTGTGAATCCGGAACAAAACAGAAGTTGCTGGAACGCTATCTCAATTTTCAACGACAGCATCACGGCAACTTTCAACCTTGAACTGGATTCCCAGTATGGAACTTTTTTGCAAAGGAGGGGCCCTGAATCGTTGATAGAAATTTGATGACCTAGATCAGTCTTGGTCTCGAAGAGTGTGTTGAATTTCCTGACATAACTGTGGCATCCCTGAACTACCTTTCCTTGTGATGGCATGGTGGCTCAGTGGTTAGCACTGCTGCCTCACAACACCAGGGACCCGGGTTCAATTCCGCCCTTAGACAGCTGTCTGTGTGGAGTTTGCACATTCTTCCCATGTCTGCATGGGTTTCCTCCAGGTGCTCCTGTTTCTTCCCATGATCCAAAGATATGCAGATTAGGTGGATTGGCCATACTATAGTGTCCAGGGACATGTGGGTTAGCAAGGGGAGATGTAAGGTTACTGGGATAGGGTAGGGGAATGGGTCTGGGTGGGATGCTGTTCAGAGGATAGCTATGGGCTAAATGGCCTGCTTCCACACTGTAGAGATTCTGTGATAGCTTTCCTCTACCCTAGGCTAGCAGAGGAATAACCAGCCTTAGGAATTGTTGGACACACCCATTCCTATCGGATTATCCGCACGCATATGGGGGGAGAAACCCACCAATCCTTCGGGTGGGTTGCAGAGCACATGGAGGGCATGGGTGCGGAGGCTTCCTGCTGAATCATCCTGTGAAGGGCAGGATGTGGAGGAAAAAGATTGGAGCAAAATGCATTCCATGGCAGTAGCTGAGCTGCCAGTAAAGATTTCAGTTTCCTAACACATGGCGTATGTTGCATTGGGTCCACTCGTGCAGGATAACTTCATGCAGTGAATCCCTTGTTGCTTCACGGGATAGAAACATCTCATTATGCTTGTTTATTGTGCCAGTTACACCAGATGGCTGCAGGTTATACACTTGCTTCTTAATCTGCAACTAATTAGCGTTTTAATTGCAAAACATACTGTTGCACTGTAGACCACCCTGGGAGTTTGAAACGAGTTCTGTGCAAATTGTGTGGATCAGTAGTGGTGCATCAAAGACTCCCTCCTGAATAATCTTGGAGCATTTTGCTATTTTCATCCTGCTGAGAGTGGTTGGAAGGACGTGAGGTTAGGATAAGGTGCTCAAATTAATAACCCTCCTTCCCACTACCCTTCTGGTTCTGGAGAAGACTAAGTGTATCATTGCTCATTCACCATGTACAGCCAGCCTGGAATTACAGTAAAGCAACTGAATAAATAGGAACAGCGATAGGAATTCAGCGGAAAAACAAAAGCTACCCTGCCAGAAAGTGGTGAGATTGTGGAAGTTGTGACCACACGTTGAGGCAAATAACACAGATGCCATCAAAGAAAGGCTTGATAAGCGCATGAGGAGAAAGCAGTAGAATATGTAGGTGGGGTTCAATGTGGTATCTGGTAAGAGGCTCATGTGGTGCATTATTGTTAGCATGAACCGGTGGGCTGAATGGCCTACTTGTGCAGATTCTTAACTTAAAACAAAAGCAAAGTACCAGTGGTTCCCGAAAACCTGAACTAAAAATGAAAATGAAAAGGCTGGAAATACTCGGCAGGT